CGAGTCCCTGTGGGGCCCGGGGCCATCGCTCCCGCCGCCGGAGCCCTCGCGCCTGCCCAGACCCGCTGTGCGCTCACGCTCGGCCCGGCCTCGGCCCGTCTCCGACCCCGGCCTCGCGCAGCGCCCGCCGTCGCCCTCCCGCGGGAACCCTGCAAAGTGTGACATTAAGTGAAGTAATGAACGTGTCTGGAGAGAGGCCCAGAGAGGAAGCCTGGGCCGCGTCAGGGGTCGACACTCGCGACGGAGACCTCGTCCGGCGCAGCGTGGGGGGCTGCGGGGACCGCCCCGGGCGAGGGCCGCGCTCCCCGCGGGGACCGCCCCGTCCCGACTTCCTCTTCCGCTCTCTAAAGCGCAGCCTCCGTTTTCCTCCGGGCGGGAACCTCCACCTGGCTGCTCTTCTGGGATTGCAAACCCCCCGCCCCCCAAATCATTTTTGCTGAATGGACACCTGGCCGGCTTTTTGTGTCCGGCCATTTGGGGCTCATCCGGGCTCCAGGGAAGACTCCCCCATAGCCCCAGGGCTGGTGAGCGAACAGGTGTGGCGCCCACCGAGCCATCTAAGCTCCCTCCGTGTTTTTCTCCACGGCTCGGGAGCTACAGGGTAAGCTTTCTCCTGGATCTGAGCGTCTGCTTGTTGTGTTCTAAAGCTCTCCAGGCTTTATTTGGGGTCCGTTTAGAGTATTCAAGGGTTTTGTCTCTTTTTTCTTTTTTTTTTCTGTTAAAAGGCCTTGTTTGGGCTCTCCTTTGACACTTTGGCTTGACCCGCTGGGGGATCTGGCTGTTTCTTGGGACCGGTTCATTTGTGCGAGAGCCATGGTCAGTCTGATTCTATCTGGAACCAGACTCCCTGTCCCATTGAAACTGTCATTCAGCCATTGGCCAGGTGGAGAGGAGAGACTGCTCCAAGGCAGACCCCTGCCCGACCCGTGAGCTGGACCTGCCAGAAGGGAGATTGTTTGCTTCAAACCTCCCTGCAGGCTGTCTGAACAAAATTCTATTTTTGAAACAAGCCAGCACCCCTCCCCTGCCTCCTGCTATGTGCGGGGTCCTGGAATGTTACCTGCACCTGGAGGTAGTCACGTACTAGTACTGTAACTACTCCGCCTTGCCTTGCCTTTTATAGTTGTATAGTGCCTGCTAAGTGGTGCCAGGATCCACTCATCTTGCCGCCACCCAAGGCATGCCTTTTGTGTGTGTGAGTTTCCCTTAATAAATTTTACCAGTTACTAGACTTTAGTGGTAGCTGCTTCCTTCTGGCTTTCCCTGATTTCTGCTTATGGAGGTTGGTTTTCAGTCTCAAGGCCTTTTCCGGGTCTGCCTGCACTGACACCGGGCTCTTTCAGGAGCAGGCTCTCTCTGCAGAACTGGCTGCTCAGCTGTCAGCTGACCTTTCTGTGACCAGGCTGTTCTAAAGTGAGACTGTGCTCAGTGACACTGGCCAGTACTGAGCCTGCAGGTTGCTTAAGCTGTTTTAAGACTGTTTGGGCCCTTGCTTTACAGAAATGTTTGATAAATGGGGTCTCAGTTATTTGTATAATTTCAAGGTGTCCCTCCTACGCGGAACCTGGCTGAATTTGTGTTTAAAAACCACAGTTCCTCCTCGAGTTCATTTTTAACTAAATGGACGATGTGACCAAAAGTAATTTAGACTCTCAGTAGCTATCCATGGGGAACCTTTGAGATTCCCAGACTTACTTTTGTTAAAAACAAGTTGGACAATCATAGCTCTGAAATTGCCAAATGGAACACCTATTTTGAGTGGCATTCTTTTGTTGTTGATAATCCTCACCTGAGGATATTTTTTCCATTGATTTCTAGAGAGAGTGGGAGGGAGGGAGAGAGGGACAGATGGGGGGGGAGAGAGAGAGAAACAAACATCGATGTGAGACAGACACATCCACTGGTTGCCTCCTGCACGTGCCCCGACCAGGACCGAGAATCAAGCCTGCAGTCCTGTTCGAGGGCCGATGTTGTAGCCACTTGGCACATCAGCCAGGGCATTGAGTGGCATTTTGAGGCTTCCAAACGTTACCAGGAATCTGAAGTTGCCTGTTTATGAAATAAAGTTCTAGAATTAACTGAGGCCGAGGAACCTTTAAAGAAAGAAGATGGCTTTGGAAGCCGCCTGTTTGTGGTCTCTGGTGCTGGCTTGCCTTCCCTCTGGACTCCCATTTTCTCAGGCTCCACCTCTGGAGCCCTTCAGCTTCCTTGCCTCTGGCTCACCCTCCACCTCTGGTGTGGTCCCCATGTGAACCTTCTCTCACTCCCTCTGAACTTTTCAGTACTGGACCCTTTAAAGTTAAGGCCTCTGAGGATCCTAAAAAACCCCGAGTATCATACGTTCCCTGGACTAATGCCGACTTTTGAGCCATAGTTAGGGGCTTCCCTAAGGTGAGTGAGGATCCTCACAGATTTGCTGAAGTGTTGGACATGGTTATTCAAACCTACCAGCTTGGGTTCTCTGCTTTATGTCAGCTGTGTTTGCTTGTCCACAAAGGCAGGCTCGGCTCTGGATGAGACTTGCTGGATGGGAACGTCCTGACAGGGATTTTTGGCAAAATGCTAGAAAACCTGCCAAAGATCACCACTGAGCAATTACTGCAGCCTTCCCAGAGGCTGTTGATTAGAGCAAAATTCAGACTTGCTCCCAAAAGTCAGGTATATCTGTGACTTATAAATAACTTTATTTGAAGGGAAATTCTCGTCTGCTCCCAGATGTTGACTTCACTCAAGTAGCCTTTACCTCTGGGTTTATTAAAGGCTGAACTAAGGCCTTTCCAGGTTAGTTATAAGGACCAGGATTGAATGGGAAATCTCTAAGTTGGTTAATTTGGCAAATAAACTTGCTCGTATCCTAGATGAGCCACCTAGGAGCCAGCTGCTGACTTTAAGCTCTAGGTCACCACACTTTCTTCACTGTTCTGACCTTCAAACTCTGCCCATCTGAGCCTCCCAGATTCATCCCTTCAGCTCAGGGTGCTAGTGGGTTCTGCCTGCACCCCCCCCCCCCC